AATACGGAAGTCCATCCTCCCGCCGCCCATGGTATTCGTATGCCCCAAGGTGATACAGACGAGGCGTGGGGTGCCGGCGTGGGCTTGGCTTGGCCCAAAAGGCCACCCCGTCACTTGACCAGACTGTGGTCAGAACGGCCCAACTGGACGACAAAACGTTGCTTTTTTTGGTTGAGTGCAAAAGTGAGCTGTCAAATGAAGCCGCGGTCATTGCGGGATGAGTAACACTGGCTTACTCGAGAGAGGTAAAGCAAGCCTGAAAGGATGGCAGTGGGGGGGGGGGGGGGGGGGGGGGGGGGGGTTTCCAGGGCGTGGGTGAAGCATCGTTACGAGGCGAGGAGCGCCCAATCCAGGAACTGTTATTATTGGAAGAAAATGTGACGTCTCAAGGGTCCAATTGCAACTTGGCCCAATGGCTCCTCCCACAGGGCACTTTTTGGGACCTGGTGACCACCAGCCTGCCCATGTCGGCCGGGGGGGAGAGGCTTGTGGGTTGGGAACGAACGAATGTCTCACCTGGTTCAGGAACCACAGCCTGAAGGAGACCGAGTGTCCGTATGTTGGCGGTTGTACGGTCAGATCTGGTCAGTCTCAACGCTACCTTCTGACCTCAACCGCATACGTCGTGGCTTTCTTCCGTTGTTGACCTCTGAGTTGGCATTGGGAATGTCTCTCGTGAACATGTTTGACAACGCACCCGTTCGAAATGGACAAAGGTGATAGGGGACACCCGCCAAACCTGTGTGTGCCTGTCTGCTTGCCCTGTTGCGCCCCCTGCTTGGCGGTTGGCGAATGCTGCATTGCATCTCATGACGGCCTGTTCTGTTGACCGCGGGGGGGTAGCGAGGTGATGTGCAATCCAATCTAGAAGCCCAATTGTAGGTCGCTGCTTGGTTGATGTACTGCCCGACATGCGTGCCTGTGAGCAAGGACATGAAGCCTCGTTGCGATCAGCATCGACAGCGGTGTTCTTATCGCCCCCCCCCCCCCCCCTTGTCGTGACCGACGCGCTTCTCACACGGGGCTGTAAGTGTTGACTCGCAGGCGGGCGGCAGACAACAGGCGACAAGCGGTAGGATTGATTTGATGACCTGAGTGATGGACAATATCACGGGGGTGGTGGTGGGATCTGGGGCGAGCACAGAGGCGCGCCGCAACCAGTCAAGTGGCAGGTCGCAAGCAAACGGGGGGGTCAGAGCATGTCACATCGCCGTGTCAGCGCTGAAGGACGGGCCGTCGCCGATTCGACGGTAACTAAATTTGGGGCGATGAATTGACCTCGTCGCCATCGCAGGCCCAGGCCCAAAACATGGCGGCACCAATTGCTCAAAGAGAAGGCGGTAGGTACTATCTAGGGCCATGCAACCGCCTTGGGCGACGGTCTCGTGGTCACGGACTTTGCGCGTCGCGGACTGCTGCCTCCCTTGATCGTGTTCCTATTCCAATCCCATCATCTGTTGAGACGCGCGGTTTTCATTCGGAGTCTGTGGCAACGAGGGGCTGGAAAAGGTTCGGAAAAGCAGTCCGTAACAGGTCTTTCCCGGCGGCAATGCCATAGTAATGCCATGGTAAAGCAATTTAACGAGCACTGTATTTGTAGCGACGTTTGCGACTCGTGACCCGGACTTTCAGCGAATATTTGGGGAGTGGGGGATGAAGGCCGGAACAGGCATACGCTTGGCCCTCCCCACCGTTGGTTGGTAAAGAACTGAAGGGGTTTCCGGGGGAGGCGATTAGCGGTCGTCCCGACGGTTGGGTCAGGCGAAGAGAAAAGCCGGGACGGGTTGGGTTGGTCCGAAGTCACAAGAGAACCCAGGGCCAGTTGGCAGGCCGTCCTAGAGGCGTCAGCGCATGGCCGTTCTGACTTGTTCCCCAGGTTCGGAAAAGAGCAGCGAAGGGGGCGCTGGGCAGGTGAGCAGCTGGGCCAGGGGGGGGGGGGGAGGGGGACCGGCAGGGACAGGCGTCTTTGGGCGTTGGCCGTCGAGGGTTCGACACGGACGGCGATCCGTTTCGGGAGCAAGAGGCGCGGCAGCTCGTGACCAGATGGAAACCGCCGCTGTAAAGATGCAGAGAACAGCGAGTTGTGGCCCCAGGAAAGCTGCATTCGTTCGGGTGTACTCCGTAGGCCGTCGCGGTCTGCGAGGGTGCCAGAAGGGGAACAGTGCCGGCAGGACGGTCGATCCAAGATGGCGCCAGGCCTTTTCGGGTATCAGAAAAGAACGCTTATCTTTTTCGGGTACTATCTGGATGCTCGGTCAGGCACCGAATGACGGTTGACGGGAAAAGCGCGACGGAAGGCGGGAGGGTGGAGGGAGTGGAGGTGGTCGAGAAGAGGCCCATGGAGACTTTTTTGTTTCTTTTTCTCTGAGGTGGAAAAACGTGGCGATGAGGCGCGGCGCATATTCGGCCAGACGACTGAGCCACTGGGAGTTGGCGACAGAACCCCCGTATTAAACGAGGCAATTGCCTGAGTCGAGTCCGTTTAGCCCCTCGTCCGAGGCCCAAGGGACCTGGAAGAGTTGCCAGGGAGTGGTCAACAGGCATGACGACCATCGTGACCTGCGGACGGACGACAAATAATCAGTTGGAGATGGAGATGCGGATTGTTCCGGGGTCGACGAAGACTGCGAAAGCTGAACGTCACATGACCCGAAAGATCCCGTGGGCAAGTGCAAGCGCGGAGTGGACGTGGAGAAGAAGGTACGTACTTGGGGGTTCTGGTTCCTGGGAGCATGTGGAGCACAAACGGAGATCAGAGGTGAGAAGACGGACAACTGACCGTCGAGGCTCGTTGGCTTGGACAGGGCAGAGGGGACTTCCCGAAAGAGATTAGCGCGTTGATGCCGACGCTAAGCCATAACAGGAAGTACTTTCTGGTCATCCGTACGGCAGAAAAGGACGTTGGGTTTGCCTGCCACATGGGGTCCAGCACTGTTGCTTTTTGCCCTTGTGGTAGAGTGGAGTTGGAAGAGGCACACATGCGATTCCCGCCTCGGCACCTGAAGCAATGCAGACCACAGCAGTGCAAAGCAAGACTGAGCGAAGACAACAGAGCAGAGCAGAGCAGAACAGGGGAAGGCATGGGGGCGCCAGACACTAGGCCTCGCTCGCTCGCGTTCCTGTCCTGCTCCAACTTCCGGGGGTGCCACCACGCCTTGCCTCTCCAAGGCAGAGTACCGACCTTCCCCGAGCGTGGGAGTAAGGCCGATACGTACCTCCGTACCCTACGATGTACGGTGGTATTCTGTCAGGGCTCTGCGGTTTCTAGACCGCGTCGGCCTTTGTACCCCTGCAACCGCGGCTCCGTACAGAGGTACCTGACCGTCCCAGCGCGAGCCGACTCGCCGTCGCCGTCTGTGGTTCTTGGGCCGGTACGGCTGGAGTACGTACCGCGGTACCGTCGCCAGAGACATCAGAACCCCCCCTGGCATATTGTCTGTAAGTTGTATTTGCAGGTTCACCTTCACTCTCTGTCATGAGTGAACCAACCTGACTGAAGCTGAGCCATAACCACACGGCCACGTCCATCCGCTGCCCATCCAGACCCAACCGGACAGTTACGTGCAGTACAGACAGACAGACAGACAGACAGATGCAGACAACGTCACAAGCAAACGCCGGGAACAGATACACAGTCAGTCGTCAGTCGGTCAATCAGTCAGATGGGCATACAGACAGACGGGTGCTGGACAATGGCTGCTCTTCCTCCTCCTTCTCTTCCTCCTTCCACCTCGTCGCTTCCGCCATGACCGACATCGATATCCGTCCCGGCTCTACCGTTCTGCTCTCTCTTCCTGGGAGGTCGGTCGTTCAGAACAAAAGAAAAAATAAAGAAAAGAAAAGCCTTCAGCCGACCCGACGGTACTTACACTCGATACCTGTGTACCCTACCTTGCTCCAATACCCGTCACGACCCAGAAAAATAAGGCCTGAGGTCCCAAGGTCCAAAGATCGCCAGAGGTACGTACCCATCCTCTACCCCGGTCAGACGCTCCACCTACCTCCTCCCCCCCACCGCAGTCACTTCCCACACCTCCCTCCCTCTCTCCTTCCTCCTCGTCTTCTTCTTCTCCTTCTCTCAGGTGCTGGCCCCTTCCTTCTCCGGGGGTCCCTGCTCCCTCCTTCCTTCCTTCCTTTCTCCCTCTTGTCTTCTCATTCTTTTTGGACCCATGTCCTCCTCCCCCCCCCCCCCCCCCCCCCCCTATGCCATACTGCTACCTACCTAGCAAATTGTACGTGTACATACCCTACCTGTAGTATTTCCTCTCACCGCGATTCACCCCATGTCTCTCTTTCCCTTTTCTTGCAACTTTCACCCCACCCCCAGTCTCTCACACCCCTCCCCAGTACTTCACGCCCCCCTTTTCCCAACACCCCCTCCCCCCCCTCCCAATCCACCCATCACCCATCCCCATCTCTTCCCAATGCCCATTGCACATTACATCTACTCACATGCATCCCACTCCGCTGCCATCTAATCCACATCCTCTAACTCTCTCCCGTACCAGCAAGAGTTGACGATAATTATTAACAACCGTCCTCCCCCAGAATTTCCACCTTTCCCTCTCCTCTTACTTCATTGCTCCACCAGCAACACATCCATCGACCCGGCCTTGTCTTCTCGGCGCATCTACAACCATTCTCCGCCTTCCCATCTTGTCCACCTTGCCGTATCAAAGCATTCCTGCCATCGCCCTCTCCCATCTGGACGCCGGCATCATCAGTCTTGTTCCTTGACTACGAATTCGACCCTCATAGCGCCCATTGCCCTTTGCACTGTCGACATCATCGACCCTCGCCCGCAGATCCACCACTTGCGTCCCCATTGTTGATCTCGATAACTTCGTTCCCGTTTCGCCTTAGGTGCCGATATTCGCCCTACCTACCTAACCCCCCCTTCGATACACCCTTGAGTTGGGTTGTTCTCAATCTCGACTGCCATCACATATCCTGGACACTCGACCATTAACTGCTCAATTCGAGCAGTCCACTTCGGCATCATGCCCTATCCTCTCGACACCCACGTACTGACCGTCGACACCAACGTCATCAACAAGGTCGACACCTCAAACCCCCAAAACCTTTATAGCATGTGGACCGGTAAGCACTTTGAATCACAACCCGGTCGGTCCTCTGAGGCCGCCCCGGACACATCCGCTGACCCGACTCCTACATCTAGTCTTCGCAAAGTGCGCAGAGTCTGTCGAGCAGGGCCGCAGGTTAGAGAACCTCAGCTGGCGTCTGTGGAACCGTGAGACCTTCTGCTGCACCGAGGACGAGCAAGCATCCATCACTGCCACCAGCCTGCCCAGAGAAATTCCCAGTGCTACCAGATTACACGACATTCCTCAACTGTCCGGCAGTGTTGACTCGGAAAACGACGACGAGGCCGTCGACTTCACCTCACTCTCTGCCCCTCTCGAGATTCGCCCCCGGATCCAGAGGCAAGACTCGTGCGCTAGCAACCGCAGCCGAGGCAAGGAGCGCCACATTACTTCTGGAGACTTTGAAAAGATGGTCGTCTCCATCATCAAGGAGAACGAGCCCTTGTCCGCTCCTCTCCCTCAGATCTCCTCGTCCTACGTCCCTCCACAGAAGGAGACGCCCGACCTGGCCCCTGCCTCCCCCGCCTACGAACATTCCGGATCTACCACCACCGAGTCCCCGTCCAAGTCATCAGAAGAGGAGCACTCTCAGGAACCTGTTTCTCCCGAGATCACCTCCCGCACCACCGTCGTCCGCGGCTTCTCTCCCTCACAAATCCCCGTCTCGAGGCCCACCCCTGCCACCCCCAAGGTCGTGTCGCCTGCCGCCATTCCGGAGCCCAGGTCCTCGCCGGCAGCCAAGCCTGTCCTGTCCAAGAAGCAGCCAGTGTTTTCCATTGGCGAGTCCTGCTCCTCCAGCGAGCAGGGCCAGAGCATCGAGAACCTGCGACCCATCCCTGCGCCGAAGCGCAAGATGTTCCAGGTCGGCGGTTCCTCCGAAGAGGAAAGCTCTCTAAAGAGCGCTCTTGCCTCTCAACCTAGCTCCCTCCTTAACGGCCAGAAGAAGACAGCTTCCTTCGCCAACCGCGTCTCCACTCGCACGATTGACGACAACAACTCGGCCATTGCTGACGACTCGGAGACGGACTATGTCGACGAGAGCGCAATTGACGACGATGACGACTCTTCCGATTGGGAAGACTCGGTTGAGGACAGCAACAAGTCCAGCATCGACGAAAAGACCTTCTTCCAGCGCGTCGACTCCAAGGTCAACCTGACGTCCCGCCGCTCCCTTATTACCCTCATGATTGAGCAGAACGACCGTAAGAGCAACCCCAAGGCTCTTGGCAGCATTGCTTCTCAGTCTACGTCGGCATTGCCCTGGTCTCGCACTAGCCACACGGCTCCTCCCACCCTGGCCGTCTCCCCCAATGACTCTGACGATGCCCCTCTCATGATGAAGAGGGGCGCTCGCTCCTCTCTTCTGAAGCCTATCACCGAGATCCCTCGGTCCGCCGCTCAGCCCATCTACACGACGGCCAGCCACAGCCACCTCCAGGCCGCGCTCTCCCCCCGGACCACGCGTCGCAACATGCTTGCGACAGAGCTGACGGAGTCTCTCCGCCGCAACCTCCTCTGGGAGCGGCAGCAAAAGTCATCGACGGCCAATGCGGTTCTCAAGAGACGGCACACATCCCATGACGTGGCCAACCTGAAGCAGTACCCCGAGAAGGTCTGCCTCAAGAATGAGGAGGCGGCTCCTCCCAACAACCCCCAGTTCTTCTCCAAGGACACGGACAACTTTGGAGGCTACCACTCCAAGGGATGGTAGACGACGCATGGACAGCACTTTCACATGGTACTACTACTACAACGACAGCACATACTTATCAAAGATATCCGACGAGTGCGCGGCCAATGCGGCCTCCCCTCGAGCACAGCTATTTCTGGTTGCTTTTTTACAATGCATTGCGCGCGGCGGCATCGCGTTCAGCTCTGCTTTACATTTACATGATAATACGGGCGCGTATAGCCGAGACTGGACAACGCGGCGGCGACACGACCTGAAGACGCGCCGGGGGTGGTCTCGACGAGGCCTAGGCGTGTCGGGGCCTTGGCGGAGCTGATTCTAATTTTTTCACATTTGCAACGGCGTCTGTTCACATGATACCATGGTCTGTTTTGTTTTGGCAACATACCACCTACATGTTTTATCAATGGGTCTGGGTCTCTGCATTTACATGGTTGCGCCGGAAGCTTGTTTTGGGATGGAAAAACAGGCAAATGTGATGGATTGTATTCTATGGACGGGACTCAATGTGGGCGGGGGCCAAAAGACGTAAGCGCAGGTACAGAAGGCATGGCCGAGGGCAACCTCGGTGGGCTATGCTTACGACGGGAAAAGACGAGAAAACAAGGGGGAAAAGGTGGGCGGGCAAAGGTGGAGATGAGATGAAGCCGCAAGAAAGGCCGAAGAGGAGGAGATGGCGGAGAAGCTGGGGATTACAACGATGACGGCGCGGGAGGCATCGGTCCAGCTTGCGCGCAGATATATCTCTGGTTTACCAAAAGAAAAGCAAAGACGATTGAGACGAATAAGAAGGCAAAAGAAGAATCACAGATGAATGAGAAGGGGGGGGGGGATTAGCAAAATCGTCAAAAGAAGTTTTAGCAAAAACACGAATAAAAGTTGGCCATTGAATCAAAACACGTACCTACCTACCTACAACCTTGACATGGACATTGAATCGTATGGAATCGCGAGGGTTGAGCCGCTTGCTCGGTGCCTGGTGACTGCTGCTGACTGATGGATCGGATGCATGGATCGGACGCACACGCACGATGGACGGCATCCATGCGCTCACCGGTCACACACAGGGGGCACGCCGCGATATGGACCGACTCTCCCCCTTATCACGAGCTTCCCGAGGAGCTCATGTTCTTTCGATACCTCCTTGTATTGTCCACAAGCGCTAGGGCAACGTCAAGGTTGGGGGGGGGGAGGATTTGGGGGAAGGGAAGAAGGGGGAAGGGAAGGGGAGAGGAGAGGGGGGCTTTGCCGGGCTAGACGGACGGAATGGGCTTTGGCATGTGTATTTTTATTTGGGAGGGGGGAGGGTGCGTTGAGGTGATGCAAAGCGATACGATACGATGCGATCTGGGGGGGGGGGGGGGGGGGGAACATGTGATAGCCACTAAGAACTACTGCTTTGGCTATACTCGGTACGTGTGTAGGTAAAAGGTATCAAAGACGCAAAGACGACGTGGGCTTTTTGTTTTATTTTTTGTTTTATTTTTTGTTTTATTTTTTGTTTTATTTTTTGTTTTATTTTATTTCCAGTACCGAGTACATCCTAATATACACATCTGCCGGTGTATTCATCATCGTTTTTCCCCTTCTTCTTTTGGCCCCGGGCCGGCGATGTTGGTTTTTTATTTCCAATGAGAGGGGAGGAGGGGGGCCGCATGTATATGTCCGGACACACACACACACACACACACACTATGCGTTGTGTCACGAATTAGCAGGACGTTGTCGTCGTCTGTTTTGGAGGGAGCTGCCGCCGCCGTCCCTAACCCGAGGAAGCACTTCCCCCATGGTCTTTTCTTTTCTTTTATTTCAAGGGGAGGGAAGGGAGCGGGATGGGGTTCCTTTTTTCCCTTTTCTTATTCGCCTGTCTATGTGTGTTCCATGTTCTTTTTTATGTTTACGTTTATTATATCTGAATTCCTCTTCGTTTTCCTTCTTTCCTTCTCTTTCTTTCTGTATTCCTTCTTTTTCCTCCTCCATACTTTTTCGGGGGGGGTGAGCTATGGGAGCTTGATAACAAGGAACCAAACGGGGGGAGGGTGAGGAGATCATTCATCGGACGAGTCCCCCCCCCCCAACAGCCAACATTCTCACGTGATGACGAATAAACAACGGCGGCGGGGGCCGGCAAAACCCGCAAAAGCTTCGCCGGGTCCGGGGAGAGGGAGATGATCACGACCCGGCGGGTGCCAGGAAACCCTTGGGGGGAGGAAGCGGCTTCATTGGAGGACTCAATGGCTTCAAGCGAGGAGAGAAGGTCTTTGTCTGTTAAAGGGCGGCGACATTCTGGCAGCTGTGCTAGACGCGCCCTGCACCCAGGGTTCGTCTCTCTCTCTCTCTCTCTCTCTCTCTCTCTCTCTCTCTCTCTCTCTCTCTCTCTCTCCCATCTTCCGCGGCATGTATTTTGGGACGCCGCGGCTTGTCGTCCGCCATAGCGTCCAGGCAGAGGAAGGAGCAGTAGCAGGCCGCTATGGCGGACACGCGCGTGCTGGCCGGGTTTACCCATCTTCTCCCCCGAGAGCTCTCGGTTTGTGTCCGACCGTCATATGTAGTCTGCATGGCCATGCCTGCTCGCTCGCTCGCTCTTTTCTTATTTTCGGGTAAGGGGTGGTGGGTAAGGGAGGGGGGGGCGTTTGCTTGTTCTTCGGTGGTACGGAAGGCTGGGTGTCATGTTATACAAGATTGCGGGGATTGTCTATAGACCATTGAATGATAGCAGGACATCGTTTGTGCGACGCGGGGAGATTAGGGTGGACAACAGGGCATGAATTAGACAGAAACATGACTCTGGAGGATGCCTGCCTCATCACAGCGGGACGAGGTGACGTGTTGGACTCGGGTTGAGACTTGCGTCTGAGATGTGATGTGTAGCCTCGTGGTGTGGTGTGTCTGGGCTTTTCCGTCCCTAACAATCATGCCCCCCCCCATAAAATTCTTCACAAGAGAGCGGCGCTAATCGGGACTAGAAAAAGCTTTCGGTGCATCAGCCCAGTGCGGACCCGGGAGGAGGAGGGGAGCCACGCGGGTTTCCCCCAAGAAGGAGAGAAGGGAGCATGCCTCCGCGATGCCGGTTCCAAGCCGTCCCCTCTCCCCAGTTGAGCCGTGGTCACTCTCGCTAGAATTCTGCTCGAATGCATCAGCCGCCTTGGTTGGAGAGGGGGGTCGGGTTGCGTCTGGCGGCGTCATTCTGCCAACTTAAAACGGGACTTGCTGACACACGAAATGGAGGGGACCTGTGGTCTAGCCCTTTGTTGCGGCTTTACGTACAGAGGACCTACGCATATATTCACGTACACCCCCCTCCCCCCCCCACATCTTCCCCTCGACCGATAGCTCTGGACTTGGAAGAAACAAAGGTGGTTCCGTCCCGTCTGTTCTTTGCAACGGGGAATAAAACGGGACTGGGCAGCAACTAGAGAATCGATGGGGGAGGGGGGAAAGGTTGACAGGTAATGTGCTACGCATGCGTGCGAGAGCTCGTCATAGTATGTGCAGAGCTCGGCGGCTTTGTGGAGAAGCGCGTGTTTCGGGCCTACTACTACACACGGGGCGGGGCCGAGACGGACGGGTTGGCAAGCGACGCATTGAGTCACCATGAGGCTCTCTGGTGACTGGAGCGTATGCGTGTGCGAGAGAGACAGAGAGGTTTGTCCGACCGACTGACCAACCGACCGACCGACGTTGCTGCGAACCTGACGTTTCCCAAAGTTACATCCAGCTAGAATCGGGTGGGTATGCATTGGCTCAGCCCACTGTAGAGGGTGTCAATCTTTTTTTTATTTATTTTGTATTTTTTCCAACGATTATTCGTTTCTGCGGGCGCGGGAGACGGGGACTTATTAGATAACCATCAGCTTTCGTGCTTGGAGTACGGAGTACAGAGCCATTCGACAAAGAAGTCGACATCGGAATCGACATCCGTCCCCTCCGCCCCAGATCTGGGCTCGGGCGCTGCCGCCCGGTAAGAGGGCAAGAGGAGTGGCGGGCTCCGAGTCACGCTGGAAGGGTCTCGGTGCGGAATGCAGACCGCTCGGAACGGCCGTCCGGGGGAGCTGGTCGATTGGCCGGCCTGCCGGGGGGGGGGGGGGGGGGGGATACGCACGACGACACAAGACGACACGCTGAGGAGGATATTGCGGAGCCCCGCCGTCTCAGTTAGGACGAGGAGGGAACGGGGGACAGTGCTCGATCAGTCTTACTCTGGCTTTGTAAAGAATAAATGAAAGAAAATTGATTCTCAACGCCATGTTCGTGCAGATTGGCGAAGAATATTTCGGTGCCAGCTCGGGGATTTGGGGCCGGGAACCACAGCCCCCCTCCCCCTCACGACGCTGCTTCGCAAGACGAGACCCTACTGCCGACGGCTGCGGTCTCAGGGGCCCCCGGAGTTTCGGACGGTTGGCGTCAATTGGTCCGGAGCCTTCTTGCAGCATATTCTGCGTCGGAGGATGCGAAATGGTCTAGACTGCTTGGTACTCCATAATAAGGCCGTGATGGTGAGGGGCGGAGGGAACGGGATATTCCTAGTGCGGGTGTTGGATGCCTTATTTTTTTTTATCTTTTTTTATTTCCTTGTCCGTTGTATTTTCATTTCCCATCGACTGCTCCACGACCACTTTTTCTGCCCCTCCTTTCTTCTCTTGTACCTGTATGAATATAATATTTTATGCTTTATTCTTTTTTTCATTTTTCCTGTTTTCTGTGGACGAGTCTCCACCGAAAAAAAGAAAAGAAAAAGGCCTTCCAGTCTTTCTGCGGCTTTAGGTCAAGGTTTCAAGGGTTCGGAAAGGGGTGATGGAAGACGGCGATTGGTCAATCGTCCCGGAGTTCCCTTTCCCCTCCCCGCCCCTGAACCCGGACGGAGGCCGGTGCGGAAGTGCACGGAGCGCCGGGTGGTGCTTTCCATTACGCGGGGTCCGAGCCTCAGCTGATGGCAAACGGGGAGGCGAAGAAAAGGGTCCCGCTGAGGCTTGGCCCATGGAGGGGTGTGGCGCATGTTCCTCCCGATTGAGTCAGATGTG